TCTTGCAACGACCAGAAGTTATCGGAGTTGAAGCGCATTGGTGAAGACATTATTCCGAAGTTAAAGGGTTCCCCATTAGCTGCCAAGACTATTGGACGCTTGCTGAGAATGGAGCTAAGTACAATACACTGGAAAAATATAAAGGAAAGTGAACTTTGGAAATTAAAACAATCAGATACTGACATTCTGCCAGCCCTTCGATTGAGCTATTTGTATCTACCGCAGAAACTGAAGAGATGCTTCTCAATCTGTGCAATGTTTCCCAAGGATCACAAATTTGGGAAGGATTTTCTAGCTGATATTTGGATTGCACAAGGATATGTGGAGGGGCCCGAAGAAGCATCAATCTGCTTTAATGCCCTTGCAAATCGTTCATTCTTCCAGAAACCATCACCGCAGAGTCCTAAGTATGTTATTCATGACCTGATGCATGATACAGCACAACTAGTCTCAAAGGATGAGTGCTTCATTATAAAGCATGCAAGTGACCTAGATAAAGTTCCTTCAAATGTTCGTCATCTGTCAATATTCACAAACGGAAATGTTCGGTGTTCTGAATTGAAGAGCATATGCGACAAGAAAACTTTGAGGTCCCTGGTATGCGATGAATCATATAGCAAAGCAAAAGATTTTGAGCCTGTGATAAACTGTTGGTTTAGGGAGCTACCGAAAATCCGTGTATTGAGTTTTAAACTTTCCGGAGTACGACAGCTACCTGAGAGCATGGGCAACTCAAAGCATCTGCGTTACCTTTTTTTACTTGGAAGTGTTACTTTCAGCACATTTCCATTATCAGTATGTCGTCTGCATCATCTGAAAGTTATAGACTCTGGTAGTTGTGTGATTGAAAAGTTTCCTCCAGGCTTCAGTGATGTCCTCAGCTTAGAGAAGATCAATTCAAAGGGTTTTAGTTATATCAAGGACCACTCTGGCAAACTCTGCCTAGAATGGTGCCGTCTGCTGCAAAGTCCTGAGGCGGTGAAGATAACGGAAAACCAGATGGAAATGTTACCTCACTGCAATCTCCAACATTTGCAGGTAATTGGCTACCCAGGTGAATCTTGTCCTACCTGGCTCCAGCCCAACCTCCTGCCAAGGTTACGTTCTCTTGAGTTTACAGATTGTATCAACTTGAAGAGCATACTATTCTTTCTCCAGTTAGATGAGTCACTTGGCAATACATCACGGTCAGAAAACATTAATCGTCTTGAAGAGTTAGTCATAACAAGATGTGATGAAATCAGTTGGCAAGGCTCGGTGGTCTTGCCTACTTCTCTTAGAAAGATAGACCTTCAGAGCCCGTGCTATTCCATGGATCACTTTGTGAGCTGCTTCCTTGACCTCACCTCCCTCACTTACTTGAGAATGTGTAAATGCGACTCGTTGACAGCTATCCCTCTGCATGTGTGGAGAAGCAATCTTCCATCCCTGGAGGAACTGGATATTGAACATTGCAATAACCTTACATCGATAGTCTCAGAAGCAAGTAGTAGCAGTAGCACCACCAATGGCGGTATTAAAGGATTCTCATCCCTTGCTACGATATGTATTCATCGCTGTGATAAATTATTGAGCTTGCATGAATTCTTGAAGCCTGATTGTTTGCCTGCCGTGAAGACCATTGAGGTTTCCCATTGTGAAAAGTTGATGTCGCTCTCTGTTGATAGGCTCGACGGGTTGCAGCAGTTGACAATTAGAGGTTCTGATAAGTTCAATATGGAGAGGGCAATGATATTACCATGCTCTCTTAAGAAGCTCAGCTTGAGTGAATGTCATGGCATAGAATCCATCAACCTCGCCAATGGCCAGTTGGCAAGTTCTCCAGTATTGGAGGAACTTAGCATTTTGTGCTGTTCAGACCTCAAGTCCATTGGTGGTGCAGCAGCTGTTGATAAAATAAAGAAAGTGAGAATAGAGGAGTGCCACGAGCTCGAGGAAATACAACAGCCGCTCTTTCACTGGTATGTACAATGACGGGCAATTTAACTACTGTATGCACATAATTTGTTCTTCAGAATTTATTCTTAGATAGCTGCATGTTAATATCCCTATGTTGCTCCTGAAAAATAAAATAGATTTAGAACTTTCAGCTCATTAACTTTTTTAATTTGTCTAGCCTGGATGGTACTTCTGATGATTAAAACAGAATTTGGGACATGATGCATGGGGGTGCTGCCTTCATTGAGAACACACGCTAGGGCAGCCCGTAATCTGGTTTCCTTTAGCAGATGGAATCAGATCAGATGTGTGTTGTGCAGGGGCTGTTGGAGGATTGCGAACAAAACAAATTAAGGGCACTTTGTTGCTCCAGGAGCTTGCTAGTATCATGTATCAACTATAGCAGGGCTGTTTGTGTGTGTGTGTGTGTGTCCTGCATTTATATTTCCCCACTGGAGCATGTTCCGGTGGAGAAATAATATTTCATGTTCCTATCCAACTTATTCACCATATCGTCATGAACCTACCAATTCGTTATTGTAAAATAATGTGTGACTCAGAACATGACATTTCCAGCTTGTTATTTACTTGTAGTAATATGTATAGAAGTATATTATTAAGACACATATCACTCGTTCGTCTTTTGCTAGTTCTGTGATTGCTCAAATGCTATGGCAAAGTAAATTTGTAGCTAGAGAGATACTACCTCTGTATCAAAATATAAGATATGTTTTAGACTAAAATAGCCTAGCAAAACGTCTTATTTTTTGATACAGAGGTAATATATAGTACCCCAAGTCTTTTTCAAGGAGGACTACAAGGAGCTGGCAGTACATCTTTTCGAGGAGGCCTTGGAAAGAGGTTGAAGGCCATCATCTGATCATTTCAGCGCCATTGCAAGGACGTTAAAGCTGTTTGCGTTCAGTAAAACTGATAGTCGGAGCTGCCCCGTTATTCCAAGACTGAAGGAAAGGAGAGATCGAGCGCTGCAGCATAAGAATCAAACATTGGTGGCTTCTTATCAGGTAATATAGCCAAAAACTATCACTTTTGTGGCTAGTGTTGCCAAAAACTACCACTTTGGCAGCTCATGACAAAAAACTACTTTCTCCTATAATATAAGAAAATTTATTAAATAAAATAACTTAAAAACCTGTTTTTATATTATGGGACTGAGGGAGTACCACTTTGGGGTACCTTTTCACAATGGACTACCAGGTTGCACTACTTACCGTTTGGGCTGAAACTAATCGTGATTATGACCGGGATGGACCCCCTGCGCGGCTTGCAGCTGATGGCTGTCTGACCACCTGCGACTGATGCTGCTGCACCAAAGGCGCACGTGGTGGTCACAGGGACAGGCGCGACAGGGGACGGTGCATGAGGTGCCACAAGGCTAGATCTGATCGCTTGAAACGGAAAGTGGTAAGCTTGGATTGAAGTTCATTTGACCAATAATTTCAAATTCGTGACAAGAATCTAAATACTCCCAGAAATGCCACTCATTTGTCATGACATTAGGTTTGGAAAAGTTTTGTAGAAAAAAAATTGGTTCGGTTCCGTAAGAAGCTTGGTTAAAAAGCATAGGCCAAAGGAGGCGAATCATCTCACCGACACCTTTAAAAGTTCAAAAATATAAGAAACCAACTCCCTCAAATTATTGCTCTTCGAGACGAACTGAAAGGTGTATCTGATTATTCTGTCATGGATGCACGAGCAAAACATGGTCGGTTTCTTCGGATCGAGCATTACACCCTGTAAGGCAATGCCATCATTGCTGACCCATTGTCTTAATTGATTTTTGACATCTGATGCCAAGGACTGTTGTAACACCGTGCTACTAATATCTAAGGTGCAAATGATAAAAACACGGTATTTTGAAGTTGGAAATGTCCAGTGATGGAGATAAACTTAGGCCTCCTTTGGTTTAAACAAACTTTGTAGGAACTCTACAAGATAGGATGTAGAAAAAAAAATCTTTAGGCCCTTTGATTTGCAGAAATATAATCTTGTTTATATCCTTTGTAATTCAAAGGGAAAAACATCGGCATGTCCTAGTGGAAAAAATCCTATCATGTGAACCAAATGACATTTTTTTCCCAACCCTCCATTCTAGTACTCAGAGGATTTAAAATACATGACGTTGCACTTCATGTGACTTTCCTAGTCCTATGATATTCCTGTCATATTAATCAAATGACCTTAGTAATAGTCTTGTGGACTGTCCACCGGGGTAGAACTACAACCTCATAGGCACCATCGGTGATTATGATCCTGATGCTTCCAAATCCTAGGATGCCCGTGGGTTCAAAAATAGCATCGCAAAAGTAATCTTATCAGTGTCCAATACTTGTGTATGTTATGTGTTCTTATTCGAATCTACCAACGATTAAGCTCTACCCCTTTGATCGGCCTTAGGTATGAAGGATGGCCTCTTTGTGAAATTTTGATCCTATTCCACCTCTCTTCTCATGCTTAAATAGGGGCGCCATTGTACTGACATCTCATAACACCATGTGACACAAGATAGATGCTTTCATGTAGTTTGATACTGTCATAAGGAGCACATGAGCATTCAAGTAGGGTCGTCAGCAACCCGCCACCCCTCAATGAAGGGGGGAGGGAGAAGGGGGAGGAGAAGAAGAAAAAAGGTATCCCACTGACGAGTGCGGCCAACACGGGAGAAGCAATTTAGAGACTGCAGTTTTAAGGTGAGTACTACTAGATCATTAAACTCCGAAATCTTTGAAGGTTTACATTACACTATACGGCCCCTCTGGAATGAACTGACCAAAATCAGCTACTGAGTCCTCTCAGTTTCACCTTATAATCCAACTAAAAACTATACAGGAAACAGAAAAAATAATAGACAACATATATTCATATGCACAATTGGGGCATTTTGCCAATATGAAACCATGGTCTCCATATTGTTTTATAAAAAGTTGGTAACAATTACCTGCAGTCCAGATATATTCATATGTATAATTTGCTGTTTTTACAACTGCTAGGTGATACATCACCGTGAAAAGATAAAATGAAAAGAAAAAAGAATCGTAAATTTATCCCTTGAAGGGCTTAGAAAAAACCAAGTTGTGGCACGTCGGGTTGCACGGGTATTCGCAATCTAGTTCCTTCACCTCTCTCCTGTCAAAGAACCAGTCTCCAACTGCTTCTGCCATGGTCTGCACATTCACCAGAATGATTAACGTTCCAGAGGTAAATTTGCATGACTGAAGACTGAGATAACTCGAATATCACCACTGTCACAATCGGTTTGATAAGCACTCTATGCAGAGAACGTAAGCTGGTGTAAAAATGAAGACATTAGTACTTTTTTCTCTACACACCGTGAGTTCTCATTAAACCCAGATGGCCGACCTCTAAAATACTGCCAGATTATGGTCAACATAATTGTTCAACACAGGATAACATATACTTTGACATGAATGTAATGTTTACTTTTCTTTTGTTCCGTTTTCTAATCTCTAGAGGATAGAAGTGATACCTTGTTGTTGACTCTAGGAGAAGATGGAGAGTGCCAAGTCACAGAGTTCAACGTCTGACAGTGTATAAAGCAGGAGTCAATGAAAATACCCCAGTCCTTTTTCTGCTTGATTTCTCTCATCGCGTCATGGAGCTCTTCCCTAAAACCTGCAAAGATTTTATTTGACGTAGGAAAACATGTAAGCAGACCATGAAACACAGGTGATTAATTGTATTGTAAAATGTAAGGTCCATTCTGTCCGTCAAAAGATGCAAGGTGAATCAACCTTGGAGTATTTCAAGTTGGTCAGGACTGCACTTGCTAATATCCAACCTACAGTCTCGCCATGAATGTTGGGGGTCCGATGCTTCTGGTGCCAACACATGTTGTACCTGAAACAAACCTTACTATGTTGAATATTGCTAATTCAACACAACGATAGAATATTTCTCGTGCAACAGATGATGATAATACCTGCCAGGCATCATATGCTGGATTAAGAACAAATACTGGTGTCCTGATGTCTTTAACAATTTCACGAGGAAAGAAGCACTGGCATACAGTATAAAGGCAGTGTTTAGCATAACATAACTTCCACGGTAGCAGGGCTGCAGCAGTAATGATAGAAATGTGACGGAAGGGTGCAATGTCCTTTGTCAGGAACGCAGAGACTAACCTGGCCCGGTTCCATGCTTGAGCTGCAGTGCAAAAACTTCCTCTTCAGGTCCTGAAACTAAGCATTCAGAAAAGAACTTTTGAATATTGGAAATGAACATTCTTTGAGGAGAAAAGGACCTGAAGACGGACAACGTCATTGTAGAAAGCCCGCAAGGTCCTTTGCTTGGAAATGTCTTCTCTGTAATGGAGGAAACAACATAAACGGGTAGATAGAATCTGGACAACAGCACAGTTTCTGTTCCATACAGTTTTCTTTTATGGCATAAAAGGATTATCATCACAAGGAGAATAGGATATAGACGCTTTCTCACTCCTGACTTACAATAAGAGTTTACTTACGATTACATGCAATGTTTCTGCTTGCTGATGTGCAATGTCTCAAAATGAACTAGTATAAGTCAGAAATGGGGCCTACGCACCACCTTTGGCTGATCCAGGAAGGATTCATCTAATAATTTAAGAATTAGGTTTATAAAATATCCTCTCCATTTTAGTTTTGTAGTACATTAGCTTACACGTTCTCAAAATCTTCATGCTCAAACTTTTGTTTTAACATTTGGAGTGTGTTAGCTGACATTTAAATGTTGACAGATGCAGGTACTTTTGAGTATTGGAGAGGACATCCATCAATTATTTCATTCATGTATGTGAAAAAACGACATCAAAATAAAGGCTGGGGTTGCAAATTGTATCAAAAGAAGTCTTTTGAAGAAACATCCAAAGCAGTCGAAGGTGATCTGAAAACATACACATCAAGGAAAAAACCACCATCCGCAAGACACTTAACCCTAGAATCTTTTGGCAGCAGTGCCCGAAAACCATCACAGTGAATGTAAGTGGCTAACCCACCAGCAGAGCATCCTGTTAGAAGAGCCTGAAGGCTGGAAATAGCATATCAGCGTCACACCATCACTACAGAAGTCAAAATGCTTGTATGTGCAAAGTCAAAGTAATGCGTATAGCAGATAATATCCAGTCATTTTGTAAACATGCAAGTACATATCATGTAGTAAGAAAGAAGACCGGTCAAATATTGAAATAATCATACAATAGTTCACTAACAGACATAAAGACTGAACAGATAATGTCGCTAAACACAAAAATAAAGCAATATTACTGTCGTTCTCATCTAGTGGATCTATGCTATTTATTTAACAGTGCCACAAATCACTCCTAATTGTATTTCTTGGAAACATTTAGGCATCATTTCAACAATATCAGCTGGTACCCAAAATAATAACCAGATAGATCAAACCTTCCATACTTTTATCAAGTTAACCGAAAGGTGTAAAGTCAAACACATATCCATGAAGAGCAAGAAACAGATTTACATCTTTAAGATGTTTGATTGATTCATACATTTGAATCATGCGGCCACACGAAAATCAAAAGGAATGGTTGTGCTTGCAAGAATGACCTGTTTAGCATGTCTGAGGCCCTTCAGTAGAAGTTCGTCCATAACTGCTTCCCAGATACGCTGGCCTCTGAAAAAGAATTTTGTGCCGTTCTGCAAAGAATAACAAATTTCTCAGAATACCTGTTGATGATTAATCAGCATCTGTTGGAAATAGACAAAGACCTGCAACTCGTCTTTAACGTTCCCAGAAAATGATGCCCCATCACAATACCTTATCTTCACTTTGTTCCAGTTGTGAAAATCTGCACATTGAAACATATGTTAAATGAGAACCTCAGAATTATAGGTAACTGAAGAGAGTGTTGCGATACTTTAAGATGGCCACTTTATTAGTGAAGTAAATGAGATAAGGGGTTTAATATTTTTGGTGAGAAATCTAATAAGGTCTCATCAGTGCAAATGGACAATGAGAATATTATGGAATGAAACAGAGATCATCAGCTCAAATCGACAATGAAAATAATATGGAATGAAACAGAGATCATCGGCTCAAATGGACAATGAAAATAATATGGAATGAAACAGAGATCATCAGCTCAAATGTATATACTACTAAAACAGAACAATTATAACTTAACATTCCAATACAAATGATATAAACAAACACACTGCTAGATACATACATGATGGTTAAATATTATATTTTTGTCAAAAACTGATCAGTGAAATATGATCTGCTTGGTTATGAACTAATGACACAAGATAACAATTCAAGAACTGATGGAAAAGTCAATGAAGACTTGGTGCAGCTGCAAATAGCCAAATACTTATTTAAGATTGAGATAATGGTTGAATTTTTTATTCATCTGGTCATAAAAAATTAGCGACTTTGCACATCAATAAAATGGAACATTAAAGAGGAAACCTTTAGCTTTGGTACAAAAATGAGGTTAGCCCTTTGATCTATACCAAGATGAAACATAGTTACCTGGATTCTGATCTTCATCATCGCTCAACATCCCAGCAAACTCAACCTGACGTTCCATGTAATGGGAAGAACCAAGCATCGATTTCTGGCGCGAAGCGCATGACTTCAAATTTCGGCACCAGCCTCCACCCTGACGCTCATACAACATAGAGAATCTAAGAACATGAAAGCATTACCGTGGGACAACTAATGGCAACAACAAACAAACATTCGCTAACGCCATAAACTACTGTGCAAACTAGTAACTAACAGTTGAGTGCATCAAATTAGAAAGTGAGGGTTCCTCTGGGTACCAGCCATAGCATTATGTTTCACTATGGATGAATCACCTTGTGATGTCATTATCCACACGAAAGTCACATCACTATACACCAATGATGTATGTACCGAACGATATGTTTTCAAGATATCCAAATAGTGGCTATTTGTTTTCAACACTGTCCTAATCTGCACACTCCTATCACTGCTGAGACATGAAACATCTTCTTCAGGGGCTACCAATCCAAACTAGTCATCAAGTGAAATCCTGTACCTAGATTTCAAGTTCAGGAAGCTTGCATTGTCCAAGCTAAGCTGAGCACTGATCAACGCCAATCTTCGAAGAAACTCATGGTTCTGTATCAAAATTTGGCAATGATAATCTGCATACCTCCAAGTGGATGAGCCAGCTCTGAGACCCACTCCCTGACCCTCTCTGCAGATGGTACCCCGGCGCGCTCCCGTCCAAGCACACTGCATCATCCAAAGCACGGGATTTCAGAAATCACACTCAAACCCTGAAAAAATTCAGTCAAGCACGACAAGCAGCAGCTGACTAGCTGAGCAAGAGTGCAAGACAGTACTACTAGCAAGCAGCGTTGCAGTAACCGAAGTGCACTGCGCCCAGTGGAAACAGAAGGGGGGAGAGGAGGGGACTCACGCGCGCCCTTCTCCTCGGCGCGGCGGAGGAGGGTGAGGCCGACGAGGGCGGAGGAGGAGGAGGGCGCAAGGGGCAGGGAGGCGAAGTAGGAGAGCGAGAGGAGAAGGGCCGCGGCGAGCAGCGCGGCGGCGAAGGTGGCCGCGACGGCGCCGGCCCGGCCGCGGCGGCGCCACCAGAGGCGCAGGTGGCGGCTCGCCGGGGCGGACGCGGCGGGGGACGGCGGCATGGGGCGGCCGGAGGCTGCTGGATCCGATCGCGTCAAATCGACTTGGAAAAACAGGGGAGTGGCCGATACTGTGGTAGAACTGAGATTTTACTAAGAAATCCTGCTAAATGATTTACTCCATTAATTAATTTCGTGGCAAAAACTAAATGCTTTCCAAAACGGTCGATAATTTAATTTTGATAACAAGCAATGGGTTCGAAAACGTTTAAAGCGAGTTTTAATAGCGTCGATTCGATTCATGGGAAATGGAAATGAGATAGCCAAGCGTGCACATTTACTACAAATGAGATATGCTTTCAAGAAATTTGCATAACTAGATTTAATAGTGTATTAGTAAATGACGTCGTACTTGCTAATTAATTTGCATAACTAGATTTAATAGTGTATTAGTAAATGGCAAATGTTTTGTTGAGAGTGGTCTGGCTCGGTTTCGGTAAGAAGTTGGAACAGGACCATTTTAAAACTGCTAGCGGTGTTTTTCAAATGAAACAGCAAGAGGGAAAAAGCCTCTACGCACTTCTCATAGCGAGGGGAGGGCGAGGTACCCGAAGAGCGAGCGAGTGTAGAGATACTTGAAACAAGCGTGCACATTTGAGACATACTATTTATAGCAACATTTTTCGGAATCAAACTTACAATTCTGATCTATTGTTTTACCATTACTGGGTAAAACTTGTAGATTGGCCTAAAGAATCTCAAGATCAAGCATTCGATTGTATAAAGCATGATTTGACCAATAACAAAAGAAATATCCCTTTCAAGTTCAAAATTTTGTTGTGTATTACCTTGCTCATGGACTAATCCTTGAAAACCGGAATACAACGATGTATGCTATCATCAGAGTCAATTACAATCTGCAATCGATCATGATTAATTCAGGTTGAAGATATCCATATCTTCCCATTCAATGAGATGTTGATTCCTTGTGTTCACATGATTTGAGATACATATAGTATTCATAGGATTTGAGATAGATGCCATCTCACATCCTGTATCTTTCATATTCCTACGGCATTCCCCTGTGAACCGAAGGAGGCCTTAGTAATAGTATGGTCAGCTACACAGTACGGTACGAACTTGTTGAAGTATTCAGTGGTTATAAATCCCGGTGCTTCCAAATGCTAGGATGTTGTGGGTACAAAATAGCATCAAAAAGTAATCTCTATGTGATGCCTGGTAGTTGAGTATGTTATCTATGTGATGTCTTCCGATCTGGACCTACAAACGATTAAGCTCTACCCCTTGATGTGCCTTAGGTATGAAGGATATGTTATTTCGATCCTATTTCATCTCTCTTCCCACGGTTAAATAGGGGCACCATTAAACTGACATATCACACCACCATGTGATGCAACAACGGATGCTGTTAGGTAGTTTGATACTGCCATAAAAGGCACATGTGCATTCATGGTGGTCCACTAGTAGAAAAGGGGGCAATGGTCCAAGCCGGTCCAGCCCATTAGTCCCGGTTCAATCCAGAACTGGGACCAATGGGGGCATTGGACCCGGTTCTTGAGCCCAGGGGGCCGGCCGGGCCACGTGGGCCATTGGTCCCGGTTCATCTGGACCTTTTGGTCCCGGTTGGCAGGACGAACCGGGACCAATGTGCCTTGCTCCTGGCCCACCACTATTGGTCCCGGTTCGTGGCACGAACCGGGACCAAAGGCTTCCCTTTAGTCCCGGTTCATGCCACGAACCGGGACCAATTAATTTCCTATACATACCCCGCGAGCAGAGCACTCTCACTGCTCTGTTTGTCGTGGCCGGCGAGGAGAGAGCTTTGTGTTGCTCTAGCTCACCTCCTATGCACACGAGGTGTTCGATGGAATGCCCGAGCCACACTACTTAAGCTTTCTCCTCTCCAAGCTCCACCTCCAAGCTCCATTTTTCTCAATATTTGTCTAGGTTTAGCGGTCTGTCACGTCCCGTCCCCGTCTTCACCGCCGTCGATCGCCCGCGTCGCCGGCACCACCGTGGTGAGCCTCTTGTTCTTATCTTCTTTCTGAAAGGAAAAAAAACTCTTACTTGTATGTTTATATAGATACTTGTATACTTTTCTTACTTTTATTATTGCATCTTATATAGTGCGATGGTTTTGGTATCCGCCCCCGTCGGCCCTCGTCCTGTCTATGATTCAGATGTGGTATATATTATCTTTTCATAACTATTGGTTCATTTATTGTTTATGACAATTATGCCGACCAACGTGACATAGATTTTATTTATCTAGGAGGTTGTTGAACCGGAAATTCCAACCGACCCTATTGTCGAGAGGTTAAATTTAGTTGAAGAAGAAAACAATTTGTTGAAGGAAAAAATTAGAAAAAATGAGGAGGAGAAGATGATATTGGAGTTGCATGTTGTGGATGTCGTCGATGATCACAATATCAAGATGGATGCAATGCGCTTGAAGATTAGAAAGATTAGAAAATATGCAATTCATACCGAGGCTTGGTATCATTATGCCGTTGGATCAGTTGTTACATTGGTTGCGATTATGATCGCATTTGTTTTCGCATTAAAATGTTTTACATAGTTTCAGTGTATGGTTTAATTAATTTAGATGCTCTGCAGAGCTTTATGTTGTTAGATGAGAACTATGTATGTACTTTGGTTTTAATGTGATGATGAACTTCTATTAATTTGGTCACTTAATTATATAATGCACGCAGATGAACCGGCAATGGATGTACGGTTCAAGACACACCTCCGAGTACATTAAGGGCGTGCATGATTTTCTCGAAGTGGTTGAGGCAAACAAGCAGAATGGTTTTATGTGTTGTCCATGCCCTGTATGTGGGAATACGAAGTCTTACTCTGACCGGAAAATCCTCCACACCCACCTGCTTTACAAGGGTTTCATGCCACACTATAATGTTTGGACGAGGCACGGAGAAATAGGGGTTATGATGGAAGATGGCGAAGAAGAAGAGTACGATGACAACTATGTGCCCCCTGAATACGGTGATGCTCCTGAAGATCAAGAGGAACCAGACGATGTGCACGATGATGCTGCAACGGACGAAGCTGCTGAAGATCAAGAGGAACCAGACGATGTGCCCGATGATGATGATCTCCGCCGGGTCATTGTCGATGCAAGGACGCAATGCGAAAGTCAAAAAGAGAAGCTGAAGTTCGATCGCATGCTAGAGGACCACAAAAAAGGGTTGTACCCCAATTGCGAAGATGGCAACACAAAGCTGGGTACCGTACTGGAATTGCTGCAGCGGAAGGCAGAGAATGCTGTGCCTGACAAAGGATTTGAGAAGCTACTTAAAATATTGAAGAAGAAGCTTCCAAAGGATAACGAATTGCCCGACAGTACATACGTAGCAAAGAAGATCGTATGCCCTCTAGGATTGGAGGTGCAGAAGATACATGCATGCCCTAATGACTGCATCCTCTACCGCGGTGCGTACAAGGATCTGAACGCATGCCCGGTATGCGGTGCATTACGGTATAAGATCAGACGAGATGACCCTGGTGATGTTGACGGCGAGCCCCCCAGGAAGAGGGTTCCTGCGAAGGTGATGTGGTATGCTCCTATAATACCACGGTTGAAACGTCTGTTCAGAAACGGAGAGCATGCCAAGTTGATGCGATGGCACAGTGAGGACCGTAAGAAAGACGGGAAGTTGAGAGCACCCGCTGACGGGTCGCAGTGGAGAAAAATCGAGAGAAAGTACTGGGATGAGTTTGCAAGTGAGCCAAGGAACGTATGGTTTGCTTTAAGCGCGGATGGCATTAATCCTTTCGGGGAGCAGAGCAGCAATCACAGCACCTGGCCCGTCACTCTATGTATGTATAACCTTCCTCCTTGGATGTGCATGAAGCGGAAGTTCATTATGATGCCAGTTCTCATCCAAGGCCCTAAGCAACCTGGCAATGACATTGATGTGTACCTAAGGCCATTAGTTGAAGAACTTTTACAGCTCTGGAATGGAAACGGTGTACGTACGTGGGATGAGCACAAACAGGAGGAATTTAACCTAAAGGCGTTGCTGTTCGTGACCATCAACGATTGGCCCGCTCTCAGTAACCTTTCAGGATAGACAAACAAAGGATACCACACATGCACGCACTGTTTACTTGACACCGACAGTATATACCTGGCAAGCTGCAGGAAGAATGTGTACCTGGGCCATCGTCGATTTCTTCCGACCAACCATCAATGTCGAAAGAAAGGCAAGCATTTCAAAGGCGAGGCAGATCACCGGAAGAAGCCCGCCATGCGTACTGGTGATCACGTACTTGTTATGGTCAATGATTTACACGTAATCTTTGGAAAGGGTCCCGACGGACTAGCTGTTCCGAGTGACGCTGGGGGACACGCACCCATGTGGAAGAAGAAATCTATATTTTGGGACCTACCCTACTGGAAAGACCTAGAGGTCCGCTCTTCGATCGACGTGATGCACGTGACGAAGAACCTTTGCGTGAACCTGCTAGGCTTCTTGGGCGTGTATGGGAAGACAAAAGATACAGCTGAGGCACGGGAGGACCTGCAACGTTTGCACAAAAAAGACGGCATGCTTCCAAAGCAGTATGAAGGTACTGCCAGCTATGCTCTTACCAAAGAAGAGAAGGAAATCTTCTTTGAATGCCTGCTTAGTATGAAGGTCCCGACTGGCTTCTCGTCGAATATAAAAGGAATAATAAATATGGCAGAGAAAAAGTTTCAGAACCTAAAGTCTCATGACTGCCACGTGATTATGACACAGCTGCTTCCGGTTGCATTGAGGGGGCTTCTACCGGAAAACGTCCGATTAGCCATTGTGAAGCTATGTGCATTCCTCAATGCAATATCTCAGAAGGTGATCGATCCAGAAATCATACCAAGGCTAAGGAGTGATGTGGTGCAATGTCTTATCAGTTTCGAGCTGGTGTTCCCACCATCCTTCTTCAATATCATGACGCACGTCCTAGTTCATCTAGTTGATGAGATTGTCATTCTGGGCCCCGTATTTCTACACAATATGTACCCCTTTGAAAGGTTCATG